CTGCAACAGTCCAGAGGAAGAGCAGAAAACCTATCTGAATTAATGCATGGCTCTAGCCCAGGGAGCTAGCTGTGAAAGGCCAGAACAGGAAGGCTTGGCACAGGACAGATACCAAAGCTTTTTGAACACAAGAAAAGGGACTGAGGTTATTTCCTTTAGAGGGACATGGCCAAAGCACAGCACAAGTAATCGGGCTGCATTAGGTTCCTCCACATCCTGTGGGAACGACAATCCTTGGAGAAAGAAATCTTCTGTTTTTAACAGGGAAGAAGTATTACACATTAGGAGACTTAATGGAACACAAATATTTTGTTCTTTTAACTCGATGAACAGAAGCTCTTCACCCTTTTATCAAATCAGGTGCTTTAGCAGTAGAACTTGGGGGCTCAATCATCCCAAACCCAGAACAGCTATTTGTTTCAGCTCATTTTCATCTCAGACTATGCCCCCACCAGCTTTTGCAAGGAACCCAAATGCCATACTAGAAACATCACAGTATCACATGAGCACATCTGATCACTCCTCACCACAACTGTCAATTTTAATGATGCGACTGAGAAGATACTGTTTACTACTCACTTAGCATGTATAAGGTTTAACAGGTGAGGAAAAAAAAATGGAAATCCCTTGTTTTACAGATGAAGAATGATGCCAACTATTTCTCAGCTCAGACTTCCCTGGTAAATACTATTAACATTTTTCACATTCCAGTCCACTCCCAGACCATTCCTTACAGAAGCAACGGGAGGCTAGGAAGAGCTTAGATTAATTTAAAACGTGTAGTCATAACAATTAAGAACAAAAATAGCACAATCTAGAAGAAATGAAGGAAGTGAAAAACACCTCACTTCTAGGATAGGACGGCCTTGGGTGAGATCCGGCATATCAGACCACTTCATCCAGCTGCAGTTTAATGTCCAGGTCTCACCCTTGTGAGCCTGACAGTCCTGGAGAGAAATGCACGTCTAGTGAACTGCGCTCACCCCGTTCCTTAGCGCCTGCCTTCCAGAGGTCTTGCAGCACTACTCGTCCCTTGCTTAGATAGGATTCTCCATTCACTCTTGGATTTCACAACAAATCAGGTCACACATACTTCTCTTGTGCTGTTAATTCAGTGAGGCCTTTCTCACTGGTCTTGGAGCAATGCAACCTATGATGCAGGACAGCACCACAGCATCAACAGCTAACCAACACACGGGAAACAGTGCAGCACCAGACTGCTTTTCCCTTTCTTTGGGACCGTTGCTACCAGGGGACCCAAATCAACAAGGTTTCTTTCCTTAAGGCTGACACATTTTTGCCACGTATTCAGAGGGCACTGTCAGCTCTTCTGTAACAACATGCCAGAGCACTGCTTGGTCATAGCATTAAACACGCAAACTGATACATGCAACCACTGCAAGGCAAGTTTTACAGCAGGACTCTTAAGTTACCTTTTACCCACTGGATATATGAGGGTGGGAGGCTTTCAAGTGCAGCACAGCTGCATCTAGTTTAAGGTCAAAATCAGAATAATGGTATTTTGTGCTTTAAGAACTCTTCACAGGAAGCTGAGCCCTTAAGTAGTGTTTTATTTTCCCATGCCTTCTTGTACACTATTTCTGGCCAAAGCCACGACAACGCAAACAAGATTATTTTTTGATTATTAACACCTCTGTAATTGCCAGAAGGGAATAAACCATAGACATAAAAACCTGAAACGTCTAAAAAAAACCCACTAGTAGCTACAGATGTGAGAATACAAGGTATTTTCAAAAGAGGACACAAAGAACATCCCAAAGATGTTTAAACACATCCCAGAAGTGAAAAAGTAAAAATAAAAATTAAGCAAGTGCATTCATGTTCCCGGACTTTGACATATTATTTACCAGAAGAGACTGAACATCTCCTGCTAAGCCATCATAATATTCAAACAAGTTTAAGCGCTGTTCACAAGAAAACACACAGCAGGAAAAGGAGTAAGTTGCATTTAATTACAACAAAGAGGGTTTCAGCCAGATACAAGCCAGCTTACCCCAAACACTATCCCTTAGTAAGACAGACTTAGTGACACCACATTAAGCTGTATCATTCCTTTCATAAAACAGGACACCCAAACAATTCCTGAATGGTTTCTTTTAAGTCTTTTCTTATATCACCCTAGCGATACACTCTACCTTGCTATGGTGGTATAGAAAGTCAAAAAGCAACTATTCCTACTTCTTGCACATAAGGAAAAATGAATATAAACAAGGATTTGAGTATCATGAGAGAAGACAAACAGATCTCCACCTCAATATATCATTTACCTCCAATGAAAGGTGATCAATTATAAAAAATAAACTTTAAAAAAACCAAAACAGAACAAAAAAAACACAGAGGAACAGACATGAAGATACTACAGTGTGAATGCCAGCTTCTTACAAGCAGAGAATGTGCATAGCAATGTTCACTATTTTGCTTGTATGGCTTATGCAAAAGAGACAGAAAAAACTGCATTAAGAGACCGTAACAGTTTAATTTTAATCTAACAAGTATAGTAATACCACTGCCAAATGATAGACAAACTTCACTCCCCTTGGAGCAACTACCTCTTCACCTGCCCCTCTGTTTTGGCTCTGTTCTAAAGAGCAAGATTATAGGTGAACACAGACCCCATGAGTGGAAGGAGGAGACCAACCTCATTCCTCCCTGAGGACAAGCATCCATCCTTGTAGGCCCAAGAGAAGACATTATTTTCTTTTCACAGCAAAACACCAACAAGGAATCTTTCCTGTTCTCAACTTTAACATTAATAAGATGATTATTTTAAGGAGAAAGAAGCTTGAACAATTTTTCAGTGTCCTTTCTTCTTCCCCATGTGGCACAGGCTACTCATTTTGCATTTGGGACTTCCAGCTAGTATCAAGTCCTCTCAGATACACCTGGAACTAGTCTGTCCTCTGTTTGATCTGGGCAGCCACAGGAAAGGTGCCTTTCATCTGAAGATCTTAGGCACTGAATGCTGTGATCCACTGAGGACACTGAAACATTAAAGTGCTTGCTTTTTTTTTTAAAAAAACCTGAATGCTTTAAGGGTCACTCATCCTACATCCCAAACTGGACCAACAGATAATGTACTATTTCTAATGCTCCACTACAAATAACTTAACTTCTGAAACTACACTAATACAAATAGCAATGCAAGTTATGACAGAAGAAACAGGTTTCCACAGAACATTCAAGTTGATGGAAGAGAAATGAATGACTGGGAGAGACCTTTTACAGTTAAAACACTAGGCAGCACAAAACATTTCACTAGTACCCAGCATTTCTGTTGACAAGTAGCAAGATACGGCGCATAGCCTTCTACGCTGGAGCTCTCTGGAAGCAATTTCTGAGGGAAAAGCACTGAAGCCGAAGGAGTATTAGCAGTGTGCATAAAATGCAAGTCAGCTTCCTACCTACCAGAGAGGAAGCTAGTATTATTCCAAACCCTATGCAGGAAGAGCTGCCAAAGAGCAGCTGTCCTTCAGTTCCCAGGTCAGACATATTAGAAGCCTGATTTGAATACCTGAAATACTCATTACCTGAAGCATGAACAAAATGGAGGTAGACCGGGCGAAAATGAATCACTGTTGATGAGAAAACCTGAAGGACAGCTGACACATTTTCCCTTGTATAATAAGGGGTATTTGCCTTGAAATTAAGCATGGGGAAAATCCAGCCTGTATTTAAAGACATCTGCAATGCCCACAGTCTGTAAACATACTGCAACATAACCTCTCAAGGACAAGCATACTGCACAAATAATCTTGCATAAAGGATGGATATGGATAAAATCTGTAAAGACAGAACAAAGAACTTGTATGATAAAACATAAAATATCTGATAAAATAGCTTCTCTAAGAGTAGAACTACAAGAAGCCCTAAACACTTTGCTGCAAATTCAGAAAGGGGAACAAACACAGAGCCTAGGACAACAGCTCCTAGACTTCCCTGCTTGGATTCCCATCTCTGGGGTTTAGCCCAAGTAAGATGCAACTCCAGATCTAGAAGAGAGAACAGAGGTTTCAAAGTACTGAGTCAAAACAAATCATCTTCCCCAAAGTGAAAGATTTCTCACCTCATTAATTTCACATCATGTTATTAGTTACATTAGCTGAATCACACCTAGATTACCTCAGTTTTAGTGAGAGGCTAGCCGAGTCTATTCACCCTATGAATTCTTTCATGGTCATAACAGATGTATAAGATAAATCAGACAAGAAAACATTGAATTAACTGTCCAGTTATGAGAGAGTATGGGGGGGTTTGCTTTTTGCTTTAACCATTTTTACCACCTTGGTTTCTATTGCAATCAATCTTCTCACAAATCTAACTTTTACCATTTAGTATGTCATAACCACAACTTAAAAAAAAAAAGTCAAGAGGATATGTTAAACACCAAAGATTTAAGTTTAAATTATGGAAAATGAGGATGAACACATTGATACAGGCTTGCAATTTTAATTTTTAAAAGGCCCCTACGGTGGGACTAGCTATAGATGGCATCATGCTAATGCAAATGGAAAACAGTTTTTAAAAAAAACCACCAAAACCACTTTAAATAAGTATGAATTCACACCATACACGTGTACATACTTAATAATTTTCTACATTAGCTTTGTTTGAACTATAAATCAAGTCTATACTGCTAAAAATTCGGTATGTGCAACATTAACCTGATTAAAGCATTTTATAAATACAAGCTTTTTAGTATTGCAACATACTTCACTACTTAACATACTGAAAAACAAGTTCTACATTTAAAATTGTGATGTAATAGTTCTATCTGCCAATTAAGACTACAAATGGAAAAATACTTGCTAATCTTTAACATTATCGAAAATGCAAATATATTTAATTTTTGGAAGAAAACAATCTTGTTTATACTATTGTTGCTTCTTTAGACATTTGAAGATACTACACTAACAAAATACAAACTTTGTAGTAAGCTTACAACATGTACTTCTCAGAGGCAAAAAGAAAAAATCGGTTTCGTATTTATGAAGGAACATCCATTTATTATAAAACAAGATAAAAGATATTAGAATTAAGTTGAAACAAGGCAACATTAGAACAACCACTTTAGAGCTTTGTGAATGACGTGTAGTTTTAAACTTGCAAATCAAGGTGAAGGTCGCTCTTAACATGCTGTCCTCTTGTCTATAAATGGGATGAAGTAGAGAAGCAAAGCTTCAAGGTGTAAGGGTTGGAGCCATCTGTCAAGAGACAACATATAACATACTCAGGGCATTTTACTGAGCATAGCTCTCCTGCTGATCAAGATCTCCTTGCATAATCTGACAAGTTTACCAATTCTGTAGATTTCAGGTTCACAGCTCCCTGCCTAGCCCTGCCAGTGGCCTGCAGACACCAGATGACCTGTAAGTAGGTGTTATTGATAGTCTACCAGCAGTTTTTAGATGTACAAACTAAGTGATGAATCTGGCTGCAAGGGAAAGTACGTAGAATTTCAAATGTTGTACTGTACACAAGTACAAGTACACTGCCCCTCTTCCTAGCTGAACTATTTATAAACGTAGTATTTAACAGGCAGTTTCAAAGACAAAAGGCATAGATATTTAAGGAAGTCAAGACTTAGAATGTGGCATTTCTATCAGAGAGAGTGGCACTGAACAGTATTTATGTATGTTTAACTGAGAAAAGAACAGCAGGGCATCCAGCACACCCTTCAGGCCCCTCCAGAAAGCAAAGCATAAAATAATCCCCCTCTATTTGGAAAGGCTGCCAAGACTCATGGACAGCAGCAAACATTTGCCTCTCAGGTAATGGAAGATATGTCCTCCTGGTTCAGCCAGCCTCAGACAATCTTATTACAGCAAGTCTTAACCAGCAGTCCTTGTTTTAAAACACTGTCTTTTCCTGTGATAGCTATATTTGATTATACATTAGCATTTGCCTTTTTCATGTTGAAAGAGCAAGTGCTGCAGCTGTTACCACCTCTCCAAACTGAGATAAATCTGAAATTGTGAATGGTATGTTATCAGTAATATTTTTTTAAAATTCAGTAAGACATTATCCATTGTTTGATTCTGATGACAGTGGATTTTAATGCTTTTCCTGCCTGCCTTCTTTTTATCCCAAACCAATTTTTTTTCTCCATCCTTCTGTAACTTCAAAGTTGCAGAGCATATTTTGAGTTTTATAGGTTGACTCAAAAACAGAGAGTACCATTTAGATAGAAACAATGGAACCTAAACTAGGTATTAAATACTGTAACATATATAGTATTTGTACACTGTAATATATATAGTACAGTGTATGTGCATATATATAAAAAATATAGCATATACATATAATAAAAATGATAGTTTTTAGCTGCAGATTGAGCTGCTGAAGCCTCACCTGTTACAAAGGCAGTATCAACACGAAAGAAAACAAGAGAAAAAATGATAGCAGTAAGATCAGTAAAACTGACTTACTCGGGACTCTTATCTGGTAGTGATTAAGTACAGTGAGAGCTTCCACCGCATCTGTCTTACATTCCCATTCCAACAGACCAGAGAGTGTTTTGGCAGAAGCTGTGAAAATGAGAAATAAAAAAGGGAAGGAGGGGATCAGTAACGTCTCCTGACAGTATATGTTCTTATCAAAACTGGAATTCAAATAACCTGCCAAACAGGTCAAAGTTTACTTACGTTTTGGATCAAACACTTTGTATTTAATAAAGCTGAGAACTTCATGATCTTCACATAACTGTCACAAAAATAAGAGGTAAAACTCCATTAAAAATGCACATAAACACATTAGCAAAAATTCCAAGTTCCTGGAAGAGACACACAAAAAGGAAAATACTGACTCTATGAAAGAGCTTCCAAGAATTTATAGCAAATTATTATTTTAAAAATATGTTTAGATTGGCAACTCTTTAGAATACCATTCCATAATATGCAAAACAAGGCTCCCATATCTGTGCTGTCCCATGATAAATATGATTTTATAGGCACAAAAATTGTTAGAGTACTGATAGCACTACTACCTCAAACAACATATTTAAATAAAAACAAGCTCTTCTTTTTGACATTCCCACTTCAATACAGTAGCTCAGAAGTTGTATACACAAGCACATTACTCATGAACCAGACTTAACTTTCAGACAGAGCTTGGGAAAAAAAATTCAAAAAATTTATTGAACTTAAAAAGAACTCGCTGAACTGTGACCAGTTTTACCACTGCCTCCACTTGAGAGGCCCAGTACTGCATGTTTTAAGCATCCAGAGTTCATTTAGGACTCAGCTGTGCAAACTGTTCAGCTGCATGCTTCTCTCCATTCCAAAACATCCTAGCAGTCATTAGAACAACTATCTCAGGGAGGCAGTAAATCTTTTGCAAATTGTAGTCCTAACTTTCCCTGTATTTGGCTTTGTGTGAGTCTTTTCCTCTTCCTCCACAAAAAACCACCCATTAAGTTCCTCAACTTTATTTCAAGATCTTGTTTCTCCCATAAATAAATAAATAAATAAATAGAAAGAATAATGCCAGAATTGTGAACATATAGCAGCTTCTATATAAAGAGGCTACAAACCTATTTTAAAAACCAGTTCTCTTCCAGTCACTATGCTGTAACTATCCCAGGTATTTCTTTTTAAAAGTAACACAGTGTAAAGCTAGAATAGAGCCCCAAAGCACTGTATGTCACAGTCATTTCAATTGCCTACCTTTACAAATGTTTCTTCAGTTACACACAGCGGAACATTGTAATAATGCAGTACACAAGAGGGTGGTTGGATGATGTTCTTAGATGCTTGGCCAGCACTGGTGAAGCGATTATTCTTACTCATTGCAAAATCCTTGTAACTACTCGTGCCATCCTCCAGTTCAAATATCTGGCTTGGAACTACTGAATGCTGCTTGGAAACACTGGGATTTAAGGATATATATGTAGTTAAAGTTTCTTAAATAATTATGACTTACATACTTTGCACACAGATGATTGATCTAACCAGAACAGAGCTGACATTTCTTTACAACAATCTGAAATAGAAGGAGAACAAGATGGGTTGGATTTGACAGCTTCCTTAAAAAAATGTAGAAAGGATGGATAAGGCAAACGAGGGAATACAGTTTATTAAGAGCCAATCCATGTAATGCCTATATGTTTCATTAATATAAATAAAATAGCAGCAATAAATAAATAATACTTGCAAATTGGAAATCATAACTCCAACAATGATAACAGAACAATGGGATATTGTTCGTTTGCAACCTCATTGCATCTGCCTACTGGTAGGCTATTAATCTGATAAAACATATTTACCAGACATTAAGTCTCTTTCCAAACAACTTCACATTGTTGAGATGTGTGACAGCTCTTTCTACAGCATACTCATCACCCATTTCAACCAGTGCTGTGCCTGGAATAGTCTTCATAAATTTCACCTAAGATAGATAAGGGAAAAAAATGACATGGCAACAAACACCCCAACCAAGAGTTTTGTAAGTTATTAGCAAATAGTGTTAGACCATGTCAGCCAGGTTTCTTCCAAAACAATTAAAATTACTATAGTAGTTTCCAAGTTTCTAATAAATTACACCTTACCTTCTCAATGTTTCCATACAAGCAGAACAGGTTGAAGACCCTTGAACAGTTCATCTTTAGCTGATGCAACCCACTAACCATGACAACTGACCCAGAAGGATTTCCACCATGCATGTAAGAGGAGGATGCTTGGGGCAATGGATAAGCAACAAGTTCTGGAGTGTCTCGAGATCCCATTCGGTACCGGCTCGGCAAGGGCAACAAAGGACCATGCGAACCTAAAGAGATGAAAGACCATGCTTTCATATTGTTTGAAACAAGTTTCGCTACTTAATCATGCATTAAAGCCCACACACATAATTCATATTTAAAGGAGGGGAGGAACAGTGTTACAGCAGTTTCCATTAATTCTTTTTCCAATTTAAAAACAGTAAAACTAAAAACAAACAAAAAAAAACCCTCTCCTATTCTTTTTCATGTTCCAAGTCTCTTCTTACTTTACTAGACAAGAAGGAGGTGTTTCAAGGTATTGTTTTTATACACAAGTGAAAAAAGGTATTTCAGTAGTTATAAAAATAGTATCTTCCCTGCACCATACAAAATATTTGAACATAAACCTATCAGAAGAAATACTTAAAATAAACCTTCAGCAATATTGCCATGTCTACTTACAGAGCTACGTGACACCAAGAAAGAGTATTACAAAGAAAGGAAAACAAACCAAAAGGAGTGAACTTTTAGCCAGAGGTCAGGAGAGGAGATGACACAGCTCTTTTCCAGAGATAAGAGATTAAGTCAGAAGACTGCCTTTCTACAAACTGGTCATTTGGAACAAACAGGAATACTTAAACCCCTGCATTAATGCAAAATGAAGCTGTCCTATTTTCCACTACGGGTAAAGTGACATGTTTCATTGAAATAATTGAAATAAACAAATATTTTTTTTTTCTTTAATGAAGAGACATTACTAGGATGCAATACTTCTGTTTATAGAAAACATGAGTCTTACAGACCAAGGAGAGGATCGATGTCCTTCTGAGACAAAAAATAGTGTGAAATTCACATAAGCCAAGTACAAAAGGAACCTTTTGTCCTTTTTTCCCCACCAAAAAGCAGTAATGAGAGGGAGACAGTGGTATAGGAGGAGAACGCCACATTATTTAAGGTAGAAGGGTGTATCAGAAGAATGAAAAAAGAACATCCGTGAATACAAAGCAGAACTTGGAAATTCTGGAGATTTAAAGAACGTTGGGAAAAAGTAGGTAGAACATCAGCCTACATTATAAAATATCATAAATACATTTGCAAAGAAAGAGGCAAGACAAATCACATAGCATCTGACAGTTAAGAGAGTAAGTAACTAGAAAAGTCACATCTAACTGGGGACATTAGTTTCTCAATCCTGAGGTCTTGGTCCAACATATGAAAGTGACAGCAGACTTCATTTACAGACAGCACTGGTAACAACTGCAGCACTTTATAGCACTAATTCCAAAACATCATTCTTATACACTGATGTAGCTATACCTTTTCAGAATTAGTTAAATTAGAAGAAATGCAAAGCCCACAACTCAAAGCTTTGCATGCAAGAACATCAAAGAACTCTGTGTTGCATCAAACCATTGTTCAAGCTACGTTGCCGTTTTCTACAAGAAAACTGCTTTCCCAGTACAGATGTCATTTTTCATCCATTGCTAGGATGATGGCAACTGGAAGGAAACATTCTTCCAAGGAATACATTTGTAGAGCCGGATGCTCTCCGTGAAAGGAAGACGTACAGTAATAAATGACAGATTTCAGTGAATCACTAGCATTTTCAGAATGTGGACTGACAGCACCGCACATACAGCACAATAGTTAACTACTCATGCTATAGGGGTCCACAGTTAAGCACTGATTGAACATTTAGAATTCCACATAACATGTAAAGAAATCATAACCACCTGTCATCCTATGTTACTTACCATAACCATCATGTCTAAATGATGATGGGTGCTCTCCCAAAATAGCTTGCCTCTGGCGGCCCTTCCCTCTGTCTAACATGTGTGAAGGGAAAGAAAACAGTTTAGTATGCACAACTATGCACTTGATTTCTCCAGTTAAGACACAAAGCTTCTAGTTAAGAAGCAAAAAAGTAATTTGAGTCCTTGTTAATTTTATAAACGATTTCTCATTCATTATACATCTAAAAACCACAAGCTGTAGCCCTGGGACACCAAAATTAAAAGACTGCCATCTGTATAACAAATTGCACTTAAGTTGACTGGGGGCAGTGGCCAATGAGGAGATGCAGACATTTAAAGTTTATGGAAATATCCAATAGTTTTCCTCAACAAACACCACACATTAGTATAGATAACACCATACAGCAGGATTTACCTACGCGTCTCTTAAAACAAATTTGAAATGCAGTACTTTTGAAAGACAGTACCTGAATCATAATATTAGCTTCAACAGCAACACATTTTCAAAGTGGGCTTCTTTCAAGAAGTTTCAGCATAAGCCAACAACAACCTGTATTACATGGTTTCACAATCAGTAAACAGAGAGCATTACATATGTGTACATATATATTTACAGAACACCTACTGATTTATGGGCGTGCTGAAAGGATTGTACATTATTGCATTATCAGCAGCATATTACAGTTCAACTGAAGAAAAACATCACTGAATAATGCACTTAAACAACGGTCAATCCTTTAAGAAAACCCAGATCTCTAGGATATAAAGTTAAGCAAGGGGTCTACATTACTGGAGGAAAGCAGTGCATCACAGCCAAAGCTGTATTTTCTAATCAGATCCACGCTGCAAGACAAAGAAAATCTAAACCTCCAGATTTCTTTATGGTAAGCAACAATTGATTTCTCACAATTAAAAAAGCCACATTGAAAAGATGGGGCAAGACATTTATCAGTTTACAACAGTTCCCAGGAAATTTAAGTATGACTGCTGAAAACGGCAACTCCAGCCCAATGTAGCTGGAAGTATTTCCCCTGAAAAACACAAGTATTCGCATTAGACAACACAACAGTGGGAGATGAAAACACATGTGCCCTTTCTGCTCAGGATTTTGAGGACAGATTCCAAGTTAGATGTTTACTTTGGCAATAAAGCCTGAAGAGAGAACAGTGCTGAATGCCTTCAAATATATATAAGAAAGATTACTTTTGTCAAGTTCTGGTTTTCCATTCCCTTTTCAGGGTAACAGCTCTGGTTCTTGGCTCTAGAAAGCAAATGCACAGTCATCTCAAGTATTCTGACCATTTAAACTGTATGCAGCAATCATCTTTCAGAAAAATCAAGTTTATAATTCCAGTCTGTGAAGTTAAATCCTTTGAAACTGCACACAGTAATATAGTAAAGGACAATATTATTCAAATAAAGAATTCTGGAAAAAATAGTTTGACAAGTATTTCCTCCTCATGATGGTATAAGTCCACTGTTCTCTCCCTGCCCCATACTTTTTTCCTTCCTTGAAAAAAGTCTCTCAACTGTCAATAAAAATAATTGTGCCAACAGGCACTGAAACATGAGAACTGATCTGTGTTAAAAATCATTCTGAAAGGAAAGATTCTTTATAACCTAGTTTAAGTTTGGGACGTTGTTTTTTGGTTTTGTTTTTAAATCAGGCCCTTGAGTCATGGCATATGCTGGTATTACCACCAAAAGAAATGCTCTAAACCACAGTTTAAATTTTCTGGCTAAAAGCACGTAGAATACTAACTGTCAAGTGTTTTTTTCAGCTCAGTCTAGTGAAATAGGGGTTCACAGCACCAGGCACTTGTTACAAGTTTACTTAAGCGGAGAAATACTATGGGGGAAGTCTCTAATTTGTTACCATAAAGAACTAAAAACAGTTCTTTAAAAAAAATCATTACCAAAATTCATTTCCTTCCCAAGATTTGAGGGGGGGGTGTGAAATTCTGAAAGGATGTATTAGCATGCCTGTCCTCAGAATGAAATTCCTTTGGGCTAAGATCTTGTTTGCTGCAGTCAGATCACATTAAGTTCAAATGCTAAACAATGCTGCTGCAAGAGTACAAAAACTCTCTCTCAAAAAAGTCCTTGATTACTTTATGGGTAAAATCACTCTAGATGCCTGCTTTAAGTACATTTCAGTGTTCATTCAACTTACATTCCCATCTCTAGATAAATGGATGTAGGCCACAGTAAATGAAAAATCATGCTATATACAATATAGCATGCTATATATATAAAAAATACAAGTCTACTTCTTTTCCTCTTATGTGTAGTAGAGTGATGTATAGAAAATAGACAGGCTGTCAAAGTAACAAAAGGGTAGAGTGAGAGTTCTTGAGAAAGACCAAGCCGTACCTATCCTAAGTTTTTCATTTTCCACTGTTTTCTCTAGCTTGGGAAATATTTAGTTCATATCGCCATATCTATCTGCAGACCAATTAGATAATGTAATTAGATGTACAACGTTACAAGTCAGCCTCCAAACACTGCAATGATCAAAAGATATGAGGATCAAATTAATCCTTCAGATTTTTCAAATTCAAACCTTCATATTTGTTTCTTGCCCTTGAGTTTCTTCAAAATTCTTTTTTCAACTCAGGAATTTGAGAAAAAAGTTTGAATCCTGATACAAAGTGTCATAATCTACAAGCTGCAACCAATACTGTAGCTCCCTTGTTAACTTTTTACAAGAACTTCATTTTGAAAATTCAAGCCCTAAGTTTTTAGTTGTACAACAGTTTTACAAGCCCAGTGTCTCTGCAGAATTACTTTGAAAGTGTGTATCACTTGAGACAGCCAAAGCCCTGGTTCTCATATAGCCTTTGATAAGTAGATACTCTATCTTGGACACATTGTCTTCACTTTTCTAACTTTACATTGCACACATTATTGTACATAAGTTACTGAACACTGCACTCAATAGTTACAGTTGTTTTGGTTTTTTAAAATAAACACTTTACAGGAGTTAGGCTACACAGCAGTTTGTCTTTACATATATACTCATAGTTTTTTCCACTGACATGAATTAAGCGCTGGTAATTTTTACAGATGAGTACTTAAGAGACAGTATGCCTGCACCAATTATGAATCTCCCTATTTTTAAAACTTAAATATAACTGAGGGGACCTATCTGATATTGCACTGCTCAGTTCCAACTATCTACAGATAAGGATTAAATTTCCCTACTACTAGACAATATTTACACTGTTAAGACTGAATGCAACTCTCACATACAGCAAGTAATAAAAAGATTACAACGTCAATGATATCAACAAGAGAGATTCTTAATTTTGGAGGTTTTCAATTTTTCAGTTGTAATTTTAAGGGAAATAAGACCAGCATACATACAAACTTGAACAGAATGGGTACAGTCTGTCATGTTATTCATCCCATACAAATCTGAAGTACTGAAAGTGTCCTCCTTTAAAAACTTGTGGTGGTGGTGCATGCAGTATGCAGACAAGGTGAATTGCAAGTCTGAGTTTTTTCAGAGGGTTTTTTTGTTTGTTTGGGTTTTTTTGCTGATGCCGATGTGGTGCATGATGAAGTGTAGAGTCAGCCTGCTGAAGTCCTCTATCCTTCTTAATGCCTCGTCCAACATAGGGGAAAAGAGTCCTTTCGAAGGAGAAGCAGTGTGCAAGTTTGTAGTTTGTAAGGAATAGTCTGTACCAGGTTTCCTCTCCTCCAAAGAGAGAGAGCTGCTTGGAGAAATGCAAGTCCTTGAGAACTGCGAAGGTGCTTGCAGGTGTGGGCTCCTTGTTGAACTAAGTGGCTCAAGCACACGGCAGTAGGGGGCACTAGGGCTCAGGGATAATTTCCTGGCTTGTGGACACAGCCTTCAGCAGCACTGGCTTGCTTTGAAATGACTACTGCGATACAGCCTGACCACGTATAAAGGATTGCCATTAGTATAGTCAAACATCTACAGCGATAACATATGAAAACCTACCTCGTCGGCCCAGATATGGTTTAGTGTAGTCCCAACTATCGTTGTCGTTTCTAATAACATTAAGTCGAGTTGGCTGTTCAAATAAAGCAAAAGTGAAAAAAGTTAAGTCTTGATTATATATTTTTTTCTAGCAAAATTAAAAGAGAAGGTCCAAGCATTACCCTTGCATATTCAATTTTCAGTGTGCAGCATCCTGCATAGATATCTGCTCCATTGAGTGCAGCCTTCGCCTTCTGGGCACAAAACACTGATTCAAACATACACATCACGTTAAGGATTTTTTTCCCCAGGTGCCTCATTCATGTCCCTTTCTTCTGATATGACTTTATTTTTGTAGCCTGCAGATATTTCACTATTGCATACCTTACAAGAACTCTATACAGACTTCAATATAAAATTACCAACTTTATATATAAAGTTGGTATATATTATACATGGGCTCAACTTACATTAAGCATCTGGTTTTGAGATGTAAGCAGCACATTATGAGACCATTCATAAATTAGTACATTCTTCAGTGTGGATTATATAAATGCCAGCTTTGTTTATGAGCTTGTGCTGTTTGGAAGGTGATATTCTGGTGGATTTAGTAATTTTCATCAGAGGACAGAGAAAGTTACCAGCAAGCCTAGAGAATATTTGAAGGGAAAGTTTAAGCTGCATCATTTGGGAAGAGACCAGAGTCTGGGGGTGAGAAGGCGCGACTTAAGACAGCACATCCCTTCCCACAGCTAGCATTAACCAGAGATTTGTGGGTATGGAGAACATGAACTCAGTAGTTACTTTACAGTGAAAATAACCAAGAGCGAGCACGCCCTTTTTAGCTTGTTAGCCAAATAAAACCACAGAACCAAGAGAGATACTTTGAATGAACAAATACTCATCTTGCACCAAAAAATACAAGCAGATTGCTTTAAATGCACTGCTGAACGCAGATGCATGTACCAGGCTCCAACACGTAGGTATCCTCTACATACTCCAAGATTAGTTCTATGACTAGCAGAAATATGTACCTGAGCCTTGGCGCGTGGCAATCCACAATCTCATACATACTCAATAACATAGGGTGTCAGAGAGCCTGAACCTTGCAGTAGACTAGATATTTTGCGCCATCTTTTGATGTAATTCAGTGAAATTCTGGAAGTAGTCTGAATCAACAGCATATCCCTTGTGTTTTACCACATCCCTGCAGCCCACCTTCTTCCAAGGTCATGTAGGTTCACTGTGGAATTTAAGAGTGAGAAAAGTTAAGCCTCCCAGACCTCTGAGAAATTGTTTGAGACTGGCTAGAACTGTGGGAGCACATCTGCAGAAGTAATGGGTACTTCAATTAGCATTGAAATTTGAGTAAATTTTTGGAACTTTTCAGACAAGGCTTGTCTTGAAGCTCACTTTTTCCCCTCTCTCCAAAACTGTTTACCTACAGTGCTGCATTACTTGGCTCACATTTGTGAGTTTTCTTTCAATTGCTGGTTGTTTTTAATAACAGGCATGTTGCAGATTTTAATTCAAAGGACAGAAGTTTCAGAGCATGTGCAGGACCATCCCCACAACTTCGCTAATCTTTCACAACATGCAGAATAACCCCCAACTGTACAAGTCACCTGATCCAGACAACAGCACTTACCACAAACTCGACACACTATCATAGTAAGTCAAACTACTGTCTGTTAGGACACATAGTTTAAGTCTTCTACATAGATACATAGCAATTAGTTTGTTTTTATGGAGGTTAGGGTAATTCTTTTTGCCTGGCAAACCATCAATGCAGCCACCATTAAGTCATATGTTAGAGAAGTGACTCACTAATAAAGCCTGCCACATCAGTACCATCTGAAATCACAAAGGAATTTCTGAGATTTTGGTACAATTTTGTCCAGATAACAGCTCAGAAACGGAGCGTAATCAGTCTTTAGGAAGAGGGCTATCAGTTTTATAAACTAAGGCGTAATCATATCAGACTTTGCACTTTGCAAACTGCAGTAACACATTAACAACTCTGAACATTGACTTCGTGTACAACTTAACGCTACAAAGACAGTAAACAGTAGGATAATAGGGCAGGGAATTTCCTCAACACATGATAAACAGGTCAAGGAGGCCTAAGCTGGTCTCGTGCTTTATTAAAGTCAGGATAGTAAGACAAGCAGTATATATTAGGACTATTTTAGAAGAGCCTGAAGAAGTCAAACTGCACCTCTGCAATCCCTTACCCATTTCTTGAGTATCAACAGAGGCAGAAGCCATGAAACTTTCATGTACAATGTGTTGTCAAATCTATGACATATTTCATGTCTGTAATTATTAGTCTTAGGGCCACCTATAAACACAGTTATCAAGACATTGTTTACAATGTAATTTTCCTATAAAGATGAAATATGTAAGTGCTATTTTGTCTTATAGACATACAGAAATTAGAAATTACCATGGTTTAGATAGAAATTAAAAAATAATTTGGTCTCAAAATTACACAGGATTTTTTTTTACATTCTCATGTTAAATCCCATCTACAGTCAAGAACCTACAGAAAAAAAAGTCAACCACACTCAAAAGGATATTCAACCATAGCTTGTATTCCATTTCTCTTGAATATAACAATGCGCTGAACTTTTCCAACAGGGTTACACACAGTATACAAGACATCCTAAGGAAGAAGAAAAAAATATTTTAGTCAGATGTGAAATTTCAAACATTTTAGGTCCACAGAACATTTTCTTGCATTGGCATTTAAATGCCAAAGAGCAAATAAAAGCCTTGTTAACTTTTCTTTTATAATTTGCCCTATACAATTTATACATTCATGATTAGCATTTTTATGGATTAATATAGTACAGGCAGTCAAATCTGAAAAAAACAGGAAAAAAATTCTATAAGAAGTACTTATGCAAACATCAGTTTAACAGGTATCTTCAACTGTGTTAAAACCCAGTAATTGCATCCATGTCTCAAGCTGTGCTCCCTTTTAAGCACACACTGCAGTAGTTTTACCAAAGCAAAGTGACACTGTAGCTATAGCACTTTAATTTTGTAAGACTAGCAGCTGAGAGTTTTTTTTAATTGTTCATGTTCATTTTCACAAGAGTAACCGGCAGTAGTCCATGATGTAGGCTTAGGTAGCTTATCAAAAGAAGAATTTCAATCATATTCACCTCAAAGACACTGCAAGTGGTTGCTGTGCTTCTCTCCACTTAAGGCAGAGAAAACTTCTGACAGGAAACACTGGATGCATGTAAACTCATTGTTAAGACTGCTTTCACCAGCATTTTTCTATATTAAAAGGAACCAATAAAATTCAAGACCATCTTCAGTGCTGCAGGAAAACCAAACAGCAAGGAGAAAAGCTCGCCTTACTGCACATCAGGCCAGGCTTATGATGTGGTCCTACGAGTACCTCAAACAACAGTCAGTTACACATAACAATTTGGACATCATGGTACCAGAAACTAGTCTCCAGCATGAATCTGGCCAAGAAAAATAAGTTTATTTTAGAGTGATTATACACCCATACTCAGAATTCCCAAGGCTCAGGCTTGAGAACCTGAACAAACAGGAACTGTGTTTTCTTGAAACAATTCACCTCTTAGATTATGTTCAAACAGCTGAAAGCACATAAGCTTTACTAGACCGCCAGTTTCATAGCTAAACCTAGCAGGCAAAGGCACTGACATCTCAGTGAAACACTCTACCACAATTATTTTTCCCTTCCTTTCTTTGTATGTAAATGAAATATTTCCAAAATGCTCATTCCAAGATCTTAGTGTACATCCTCAGGTTTATTTGGGGGACAAGAGGGAGAAGGGGGAAAAGAAGTAGGTATAGTATTTCTTATTATGTTCTGCAGAATAGCAGAGCAGTTGGGAGGCAAAGGGCTGGAGGGCATGCTGTATTTCCTAAAACCAAAACAAACACACCCCCACATACCCCACCCCCCCAACAAGAAACTAGGAAAGCTTTAGCTACTTTAGCTTACCAAATCAATCAAGTGATTCACAAGATACAGTAACCTAGGATATTTTACATTTAAAAAAAAAAAATCAACACTAGCATTATATACATACTGGAATATCATAAAAAGGAGGTGCAGCAACCTAATCTCAAAAGAAGTCGATAGTTAAGTTTAAAACATTTCAATTGCCAAGGCATACCACACCTTCCCTGTGCATGTACAGTAGGTTTAGAAGGTAAGTGAGGCAACAGCAGAGGTATAGCTGAACAGACAGTAATGACTGCAGCAGCAGGGGTCACTTTGAAAAGGTCTGTTTGAACAGACAGATTTGTCTGTTCTTACAGACAAATCCCTGATAAAGTTCTGCCCACAGAGAGGAAACTGGGAAACAGAGCTTCAAAGACAAATATATGACACCTTAGGCAAAACTTTTTCAAAACATCAACCCCCCATCATGAAGGGGTGGAAAGCTATTAGGAACTAAATACAGTTAACTTGCCCTTCTTGCCTTTCATCGCCACACCCCTCAAAAAATTCTGCTAGGAAAGAAGCAAGTCACAATTGTAATGGAGGAAATAAGCTGCAACAAAATTTTAGAACAATTTAGCTTTTTCCACAAGATGCCCTTGAGCAGGCCAGTTTCTCTGCAAAACATGTATCTTTGTTTGGGAAAAAAGCTCTTAAGAACTATGAAACAGTTTATTGCAGTTATTCAGACTTAAAACTGGTTTCAATTTTTCACCTATTTTGTCTAACTGTAGTTCAAATTTAAGGAGAGAAAACTGTTGATGAGGAAGAGGTGGTGTTGGGCTTTGTGTTTTTTTTGCAGGTTTTTTACTTGTTTGTTTGGGAGTGTGTGTTTGTTTTTATTTAGTAAATGCAGACTTTGCCTGAGGCATTCTTAAGTTAACTGTTTCTTTAACCTGTTGGCCAAGTGCAAAATTTTTATTTTTCTGATCACATTCCTAGCTGTTATGGATACAATTGCTCTTCCCAGTTGCTATGGCACTACTGTCTACACTATCTTCAATGAGCTCTGATGCTTGCAAGTAATTTGGAAATCTGTGTGCTTCTGGTGCTCATTGGTATACTCTAGACAAACTGCTGGGGGCAGCAGGAAGGAAGGGTGGGGGGGGTGTTTGCTTGTTTGTTTTCCAAAAGGAGCTACTGGGCTAGAGGCTTCAGCCTCAGAATTTCCATGAAACTCTCCTAGCCCAGAACAATGCTTCTGCCACCAGTTTCCTCAAGCATCTACGCTCAACTCAGCTGCTTATGGATGCCAAATTTAAAATGCATGAATGAAATGTAGTTTCCAAAATTTGTATTATAGTCACATGCAAAGAATACCTTAACTTAGTCAGTGGATTTGTTCACACAGCTCAAAGCAGGTATATTTTTAAACACTGATGAAAAAGCAACTCATACCTTACCATGGTTTTCTATAAAGAAAACTGATGCGAGAAAGAAAATTCATCATCCACTAATCAATCAACAAGCAAAAACCTACTGATATTCACAATACAGTGAAGCAAAAAGCATGACATGGAACTGACTGTTTGAAGTAATTTCAGGAATGTTACGTTTCGATCAATTTGCTAACATAATATACAGCACATTAAAAAAAAAATTAATACTTGCATTAAGTTATATGGTTCCACACAACCCAAACACTTTGATTGATCCATACTATCCTGTATATTTACCTAAGAAAAAGTAACTTATGCTTGTTTCACAGTATTAGAAGTCTGTTTAAAGCAGACTTTTTAAATTTTTCCTGAAATCTTTCTGTGCAATTCAGTGTGTGCTATAAAATCTCTACGAAAAGTACAAGGATTCAATGCATGAGAAGACATGCATTCTTAAATACTAGCAAAAAATATCTGTATCATTAAAAAAACATGCACGTGTGCCACAAATAGATGGCAATAAATTAGGATGCAAGTGTATATATGTTATGACTTGAAATACTGAAAAGTGAAATAAAAGTGAGGAAGATTCCATCAAACTGGAGTTGATCATCAACAGATGAAGGTTTCAACTTTCCACAAACAAAATACTTAAGAATGAAGGACTGCAATAAAATAACCCCTCCTACTGGAAAAATTACTTACTATTTAAACATACACTGCTCAGAGCCTAAAAGCTAAATGACATTCCTGATGTTGTGGCAACTTATTTGGAAATATTTCAGAAGCATGTGGCAACTTAAGCATTTCGAAATCTTGACCACTTAAGTCTTCAAATTTTGCAAAATATCTGTACAACGAGACTGAATCATCTCAAAAAACACTTTTTTCCAGAACACGCATGCTACTTATGTGAAGACAGTGTAAAGCTTTGGTAGGTGAATTTAATTCCTAACCCAGATAAACAGTTTACAATTTTAACAAATAGTACACAATGGAAATAATGTAACAGAGATTGCTGCTGCCTACCTTTTATTATTTTATTAAAAAAAAAAAAGAAGAAGAAACATACCACTGTAATTGGATAGAGAGGATTCTGAATTGACAACAGGAGAACTTTATTTCCACCCGATGGGTCATCAGTGTTCCCTGGCCGAGTAATCCTCTTACTTGTCGAGTAGTTGAAAAAGGCTTGCTGTCCAGCAATGTATACAGGTTCATCTGCTGCAAACGTTACACATTTCTTCGCACTTTCTACATTTTCAAACTCCACCAGAGCCTGGCGCTTAAATGGCATCATCATGACATAGCTGGTGAGAGAAACATTACAGTAAGTTTTCCTATATGCTTACTCAAAACAACTCCAAAGTCCTGTAACTGTTATATATGATAGGTTTTTTCTAAACAATTCCTAACAAGGACAGAAAAGGAAGGTAGGTCTCCCTGCTCACGCTTCCCGAACCTGGTCAACACATTTCTAAAGCATTTGCACAAAACAAAGAAATGCAGCTGTAAGAGAAATAAGTAATAAGCAGTTGTTTTCCTGAAAAAGTTTAATGCATAAAAATATTCAACCAATATAACAAACAATTAATCATTTACTAACTTACTAGAACTACAATTAATATTAAAAAAAACCAACTTGCTAAAGCCATTTATGACGTAAAGGATCAAAGTAAATGCAAACTATAAAACACATTCAAAGCTGATACATTAAACATCTTTGCTGTTGCTAAGAAATTTACAATACTATTTTTGAACACAAAACTACCTTAGAGGAAATAAACAGAAGTATTCTAGCTAACCAAATTCAGACACAGACAAACTCAAGAAGCTCTGTCAGCTGATTTATGTTTTTGAAAAGTAAAACTCTCAGGCTAAAATGTACCTATTTGTGTTCCTGAACAAGTTTGTGCTCATTTCATTTTATTTATTTTAATAAACTGGTACAAGTATAATTCAATTATTTAAACATTAAGGCAGTGAAAAATACTATTAGTACTATTTACAAAGCCCTATTTGACCTCAATACATGTATTTACTTGAAAAGAAATGCACGTTTCTGACAAGAAGCATTCAAAATTCAGAATAAGCTGGCTCTACCCATTTACCTTTACTATTTTGTTCATAGATGAGGACTCTTTAGGCTATATGACCTTTGAAGGGGCTTTCTCTGAATAACCATCTCATTCTGAAGGACCTACCGTATCACAAGCACTCCTCCCATGCTAAACCATAGGAAAAAGCATCATCTGCTCTGTGGCCCGTCCTTATTTTTGGTATATTCACTAATATCAAGACAACCACCCTCATGCTGTTCTGCAATTCAGTTTAGCTACAGCTCGTATCAAGGCCAGGACTAGCTGTGCTACTGAAGTCTGACAGCAGACACTAGGGCACGCAGACAGTGCAACTGCTTGATCAGATTTGCCATGTACAGAAACACAGAATCTTCACATACTAGAAAAACTTTATGTTTTACTATTAACTAAGTTCCGGATTTCAAATGGCTGTCATAATGCATTTAAAGAGGTCCAAGAGACTTTTAAATAATGCTCCCAACTTGTCCACAGACATGACTTTAGACTGCGTGACATACCATATGGTTCCAAACTTTTCAAGAGCTTCCACAAGATCTGCTTCCACAACCGATTCACACAGCCCTCGGACATGGACGACAGGAGAAACAGAGACTTTGTGATGACTTCCCCCGGCATCCTAGCAACGAAATGACATTTTAAAATTCAACACAGAACAAGGAATACTGCTATCATTAACTAAAATTAAATATTTGGCAGACACTACACTGGGTCCAGAAGCAGCCATCTAGATGTACAATCCAAGCATATTTTAAATAATTTAACTTTTCTTTCCAAACAGATTGCCAAGTTCAGTTGCTGAAATCTACTTAAAATAAAATGCTTTGCAGATTTAATTAATGTGTTTGCACAGGCAACATTTTTCTAATATAGAAAAAAAAAAGCCTATTTAATACTTGGTTGAATTGCAGGAGATCTTCCACTCTATTTGTTAAAAGCATTAAAAAAAATACTTGGGCATGCACAATAGCTAAAATATTTCTGACACTCTTCCTGTTTGTTTTTGCCAATATTTGTTTGAGACAGGCTAGGGGGATAAAAAAAGCAAGAACAAACAAGGGCCATCAGTAAACTGAAGAAAAATTTATTATTTTTCTAATGTCCACAGAGCTGTGTCCCACAATGCAAGAAGATGCCAGCTCCGTACTATACTTGAAATAAACCCAACTCCCCTTCTAATTCTGAACACTCTTCATACATGTTTCTAAAAATTCACAATTTCTGTACATACAGGCCTGCTTTCTCTTTTCACCCCAAGGTTCACTACCATTAACAGATTCGGCTGTCGTACATTAGCACACAGAATTCCCACTACGAACATTTTTCAGAGCTACTGCTATGATTTCAGACAGTCTTGGTTCTGTGTGACTGAAGAATTTGGGTTGGAATCAACTCATCTTTCCATGTAAAGCCTGAAGCAGAGCTGAGATTTACCTTATATATTCTAAGACAGAGGGGTAAAACAAAAAGAATGAAATTACGTAAGCCAATAATGAGAGATAATCAAAGAAAGATTAGAGATAATAAAGGGCATATTAAAATATACTGTAATTACCAGCACCCAGATTTCATACATGTAACAGCAGTGTAAATTTGATGTATTCAAATTTAGCAACTACATCAATGTGTTTGATCTAACACATCTAGTCTTGTTGATTTTTCACTTTTTCGTAAGAAGTAGTATAGCATCTTTTGGAACTAGAGAGAGATTCTCATTTGTAGCACAAAGGAGTGAGCATTCAGCTTCAGTAATTAAGTAACCACAATGATTGCTACTACTGCTACAGACATTCCTCTATTCCCTATCTGTTTGAACCACAGAATCAAGGAAAAAAACACATCCCAGATAACTACAAATTGAGTCGTGTGTTTAATTCCTGTGTTCCATACACAGCTCTCCCAAGACAATTACATATTTTTTTTCTTTAAATCAAGGATTTGACCATTCTGTTTGAACCAAAAGCCAGCACTTCAGACTTCATCAGATGTCACAACAATCTGCTGTGCAATTTTTTAAGCTTAGCTTACATTTTATTCATTTGCCGTATGAAAGCATTTTAAGTGGCAACAGATTTCTTTGAATAAGAGCTGTGACTATTGTGGGAAAACACCACTAGTGATATTTGCATAAGATACCACATACCTTGAATTAATCAGCGGAGGTCTACAGCGCTAGCACTGATCAAAGTAGTCATAAAAGATTAACACTTTGAACTGCAAATACCTAGGCAACTGTAGAAGGAACAGAACTACACAGAGGTTTTTATTTTCAGCTTATATACTCTTTACCCACATACACACTTTTCAAAGCTGAAAGAAGCACCTAAGGAAACCTTCAAAAGAAAGCTAACAATAATTACCAGTTTTTCCTGCAAAGTCTATTACTCTAAGGTGTTAAGATAGCAGGGACCTTTACTTTATTCACAGTCTACAGAACAATCAGAAGTTATTAAATCAATTATTCCTTGCCCTGCATACTTCTTACTATATTAAGATCCCAGTTAATGCTAGGGGTATGTATTTTCTTTTCTTTTGTTTTCTTTTCTTAATGTATTCCAGAAATGTCACCTAAAAATATTTCCATCTAATCAGATGGCAAATATAAGCAACGATTTTCTCACTGAAGCAGAGACTCACTACAGAGCTACCTTACTTAATTAGCACCCCTGCACATCAAGTCAAGCTTTTTAGAGTGGACCATAATGGAACAGTGTTTCTCTCATGCCCCTTCCCAGTTCAACCTTCTGTTACAGTTTCAGTTGATGTTTCTTTGTCATGCATATCCCTTTGTGTTTTTATTTATTAGCAGTTCATTTAATCTTGCCTACTGAAGATAAAAATCTTTGTAATAGTACAAACTCTCTCAAAAATTAAAGACTTTTATCCTTGCATCTTCAAATCCATTATACATGAGTTACACACACATACACAGGTGTCCGCACTTCTGCAACTGGAATTATTCTCAGAACCATCAGCAAATACAAATTTTGCTTTCTTTTGTAGTTAAAGCAACACTTGGCTTTCAAAGCAAAATTTCTTTTTTCCATAATACCATATAGAAAACATCCTTTAGTAGGGTATTGCATAGTAGGAGATTTAGCAAGAATCAAAAGTCATAACACTGCTGCTATTGCAGTAACTTGTACAGAAAATTATGCAGCATGGAATTAAAAAAGAAATAATTAAAAAACAAACAAAACCAGACCCCCCCCCCCCCCAAACAGTGAGATCTCAGTCATTTACCAGAAAATTAAGGACTTATCTACATAGCATTTCAGAAACTAATTTATACAGATAAAGGCACTGAGGTTATAAATGGCCAAATCAGAGGGTCTCTGCTTTACTCAATAGTTTCTAAACAGCAGCACAAGAACATAAGAGCGTAAGTCAGTCCTGAGCCAGGAAGCCGCAAATATTCACAGAGCATATTGGTGAAAGACATGAACATGTGCCACAGGCATATGTTTGAGTGCAAAAAAAGTCTACACGAAGGGCAGACATATATATTAACATCAAACAAGTTTTGCAGCTACCAAGCTGCAGTATAAAGCAAATTTAGAATAATCCTTGATTTCCTCTAAAGGAGGAGAAATAAAACCACTAGACCACATGAAAAATCAAACATGTCTGTAAGCATAAAGCATCTCCACAGCTGAGATCAGAACATAAACAACTCATCCAACTGCTGCCATTGTTTTTCATCTCGAGGAAGAAATTAAGGATTTTGAGCAAGATCTCACGGTCGCTGTATCTTGAAAACTACATGCGCTACAGTTGGTACACAAAGTTTACATCAAAGCATCTGCTCACATAGAGATTAACCACCACCAGTATTTCTCTGCTTACAAAGGAGTCTTTCAGTAACTCCAACTCCCATGATGGCACAAAAGCCCCATGCACAACTCCAACATGACACTTGCACTCCACCAAAGCCAGCAGAATGGATTAGCTAACATTACTGCTATACCATTAATACATACGGCTTAAGGGTTTGTGAAAGCTCAGTAACAATTTCTTGAAGAATCATTAGCTGGACAGAAAATGCAATTATTAAATAGATAATGGAAACAGATTTCCTTTCTAAGTGCTCAAGACCAGTAAGAAGGACAGGAAAGGTTTCCCTCAAGAAGGAAGCTAGAAACATAAAAACGCTTAACCTTGAAACCGAGCTTCTGTAAAGAGCTGAGGCACGAAGGGAAGTGCTGACATAACCTAGCAGATGAAGCACAAACAAATTACTTCACATACATAAGACTACAGCAGAAGCAGCTTCAAAGAATGGCTGTAGCACTTTAACATGCATTCTCTGGTGACCTACATAGTTCTAGACAACATTTTAAAAATATCACTGGTTTCTCGCCAACAAATTATGATTTGCCGTTCCAAGAAGGAAGAAAGTCGTCATGCGCTCTCAGATGCTATCTCTCTCGCTCACCAATTCCAGGTTAGAGAATTTTTCACCGTTTGCACATAAATGTGTCCTTTATCCTTTCCACACTTTCCAGTCAGTATATTCACCTTAGTTCTATTTGTTTGTACTACCTTTTTTGGACTATCTGCTCCTTTACTGTTTCTGTGCTTACCTCCTCCATCTCTCTTTTTCTCCTTACTGCAAAAGGATGGCACTCCTCCTTCATATTCTCTCCCCCAGGTACCTAAATATACTGTTATTTTATTTCTCACCATTCAGATTATCTTATTCACTCTCAACTTTTTCCCTCCTGCTGCATCCCTCTTAAATGTTCTGAAATTGCTTTTATAAATATGACAGAACTGGGGGAAGGGAAGCCCCAAAACGTTGCTTATTAGGTAGGTAAGTGCCCAAAACTTCATTAATGCCTAACTATGGACTGATCTGCATCCAACTGCCTTGCAGGATGTCAAAGGTAGCTAAAATTACCACACTATAAAAGCAAGGTGAAGGTAAACAACACGTTCCCCAACAATCTCAGCTCTGCCCACTGGGGATGGTCAGACAAGGAAAGGCTTTCAAAAGCAGTTACACAGCATTTCGTGCACACTCTTCAACTGCTAGTTGTACTACATGATGATGGCATTACTTAAAGCTGTTTGCCCTGTCATACATCATCCCTGCTGACCACACCTGCCTGACTTGAGCAGCTCCATCTCTTCCCTACAGAGGTACAGAAGACACCTCTCTCTGTGTCACCTGGAATTCCTGTAGCTTTGCAGTGACAACAGTATTTCCAGTACACAGTAAAGTAAGATAGTGTCTCAGAAGAACAAAGCAAACAAGACAAAGTTAAGGTTCCATGGCAGTAGAAGAATATACCAGTTTTGTATATCCTGAATTTTTTTTTTTGGTGGTGGTGGCTGGTTGGTTTTGGGGGCTGTGGCAAGGCTGGACAGGAGAAGGGGGTTAAGGTTAATCACACTCCCTATTCTGGAAGGCTACCTGGCAATTTAGTTTTGTTTTGGATGTCGGGTTTGGGGTATTGTTTCTCTTGTTTAAAACCTTACACAGTGACATGCATACCTCTTCCTAGCACTCTCTACCACTGTGTCCTTTCAATGATTACAACTGCCACAGAATGCAATACCCACACTCTGACCCCTTTGCTAATTCTGAATCTGTCCTGAAGTGGTCAGGCAGTTGG